ATATATATATATATATATATATCCATATATATATCCAAGTTTATATATCTAAACCCTTTGATAATAAAGCATCTCAGCATGGGCAATGAAGCCAATCACAAAGTAATCTTGAAATTGAACCCTTACTGAAATGATCAGTTACCATCCTTTGATCACTTTAAGGACCACTTGCATGTTAGCCTCTACACCATAGCATATTACCTGTGGTAACCACAGGGGATGTTCTAAAGGCCCTTTTAAGAGTCTTATTGCATTCTACAGTATTGTATATTAGGAAATGAGTTAGAACATATGAGAAGAAAAAAAAAAAGCTAGAATAAACATTGTCTGATAGAGAATAAAAGTATGTCACACAACACTCAGAGCTTATTCATGTTTTCAGAATAGGATATATTTTACTATCTGGCAGATATGGACATCTCCCACCTTACTCCTATGCATATGATTTATACAGTCTCATGTAACTGAAGGCAAGGCATAAAATGCAGTTACCTCCCTAATTAACAATATGTCCCAAATAAAGTTCATCTTGGGAAATGCAGCTCTGTAAATAAAAGGGCAATTAAATATACTTAAATATACCATGACAATGTGCATAATAAAGTGTTAAATAAATTGTTCTCTCCCTCAGTGTTGCTAAGTATGTGATACTTGCCATAGGGGAAAATCTGTGGGGCTGCTTCTACAGATGCAGCATTTACAAAGTCATAAGATGGATTGGTTGCTGTATCACAGATGTAATAGCAGTCAATGGCTTCATCTCTCCTTTCATTCAGCCACATTGAGGCACCTGATCAGGATTTCCTTTGTCATTAAAGGAGAACTATGGGGTCAGTGTTTTTCCCCATAGTTCTCCTTAGGGTAACGGGAGGATACAAACTAGCGTCCTCCCGTTACCCTAAGCTCAGTATACCGCGAGCTACAGCTCGCGGTATACTGAGACGCCGGAGCGGATCCCGACTTAGATGACGGGATCCGCCCAGCTGCGTGAGTGACAGCTGGCTCTGCCTATCTAGAGGCAGAGCCAGCTGTACCCGCCCCCTCCCCGTCCGTTCCACCAGTTAACGCTGGCAGATCGGAGCGGGGAGAGGGGAATCCAGCCCCTCCCTCTGTCACGGCAGAGAGACGTGACAGGATCGAGAGGCGAGTGAACCCGGTATGTGTTCGCTCACCTCCCGATCTACTGAGCCGACCTGTGACAGTCTCATTGTCACAGGTCGGCTAGAACTATGAGGTGAGTGAAAAGCACTCACCTCATAGTTCTCCTTTAAGGACTCGTTTGTTCACAGTTACTATCAAAGCCTTCCCCATTTAATTTAGGTCCAACCATACATTAAAGGCTTAAAGTATATCTAAAGCCAAAACAGACAATACAAATTTGACAGGGATGTCAATCCTTCCCCACTCTATCCAAAACGAATAAAAAAAAGCTTTGGCTCTTGATACGCTTTAAGCCAGGGACTACATTCTGGGTTGCTATGCAGGATACTTTATTTTTTCTTTCAAAAATTCTGCAACTCTGATCTCTGAGACTGATGTGTACGGCTCATACTTAGGCCTGGGAGAAGTCATCTATCTGCTGTCTAGATAATACATCTCCATACAACATATACCTATCTTGCAAATTTTGAAATGTTTATGTCTTTAAATATTTAGCCAGTGAGATAAAAAGAACGCAGAGGCGACCTTGTTGCAATACGTTTTCTGGGGTAAGGAGGTGACACCACTGCATGGCTTGGCATAAGGTTTGGAGTTTAAGCTATGACAAAATTAAAAATAAAAACCATATGCAGTACATCTCTGCTACACATGCTCATTCCCCAAAGTTTATCCCAATTATGTTTGGATCCGCCCAGCTGCGTGACTGACAGCTGGCTCTGCTTATCTAGAGGCAGAGCCAGCTGTACCCGCCCCCTCCCCCGTCCGTTCCGCCAGTCAGCGCTGGAGGATCGGAGCGGGGAGGGGGGAATCCCTTCCGTCACGGCACAGAGCCGTGACAGGATTGAGAAGTGAGCAAACGCCGGTATGTGTCCGCTCACTTCCCGATCTACTGAGCTGACCTGTGACAGTTTTATTGTCACAGGTCGGCTAGAACTATGAGGATGAGTGAAAAGCACTCACCTCATAGTTCTCCTTTAACCTTTATCCTCATAGTTCGAGCCGACGTGTGATAATTAAACTGTCACACGTCGGCTCGAAAACATACCGTCGCTCACTCACTTCTCGATCATCTCCCTGCAGTGAGCTGTGACTGTCAATCACGCCTCCCCACAAGGATTCCCCCTCCCTGCTCCTCCAGCGCTGACTGGAGGAACGGACGGGGGAGGGGGCGGGCACAGTTGGATCTGCCTCTAGATAGGCAGAACCAGCTGTCATTCACACATCTGGGTGGATCTCGACAGCACTGTTGGGATCTGTGCCGGCTGCGGCGGTCTCAGTATATCGCGAGCTGTAGCGATATACTGATATACTGTGTTTTGGGTCGCGGGAGAAGGTTAGTATATGTCCTCCCGTGATCCTTAGGAGAACTATGGGGAAAAACACTTACCCCATAGTTCTCTTTTAAGCCCTGTTTTGTGCTGACAACACACATCATTTTTCTGGACTGTGTGGCATTAGCCCTACCTAGTTGTCCTTTGTTAAACTACTCAAACACACCCCTTATCCTATTCCTGACAACAAAAAGACAAATAATTTTATAGCCCCAACATAACAACTAGGAGAGCCAATTACTGTCCTTCAGATAACACAGGAAGTGTGCACAGACACAGGACAGCTCTGAATTTCTTACATGATCAATAGGTATTTTTATTGTACTTATCAAACAGATATAAGGAAACACTTTCAGCTGCATATTTAACAGACCAAAAGGTAGCAAATTGAAGAACTTATTTTTTAAGGTTTACAAACATTTCAGGTTATTGAAGATGTAAGCCTTCTGTACCCATTAGATTAACAAAAGCTGTATCATCATCTTGGTTACAGGGACAGATTTATATTTGATTCTTGACTCGGTAAGTCAACTATTTGTACTTTAGTATCACACTCTCTGCCTTAACACACTACCCTAGGCAATGCATATGTTGACTACAGGGGTGGCTGATCCTAATTCGAAATCCTAATTTATATATAGCTATTTCAACTTCGTATATAGTGGTTTGGCTGGAGTTTGATAAATCTCAACATTGTAAGTGTTCATATCCTTCTTTTCAGACCTTGTATGCAGCTTTGCCATCCCTTCTAGAAAGCAATCCTTTCACCGATCCTGCCAGTCTCTCAGATGTAGGAGATCTGAGCAATATGCCAGAAGGCACACGTGGAACTCTTTCTATTTACCAGGCTACACTGGATTTAACTCGGGAGTGTGAACTGCACCCAGATCTCGTGTCCCAGACATTTGGCTATCTTTTCTTTTTCTCCAATGCATCACTCTTCAATACCCTTATGGAAAAAGGTAAATCATCTTACCATACTGGTTTAGAAAGAACGGATTTATTACTTTTTAAAGAAGAACTCCAGGGAAAACTTTTAACAACCCTTGCAGTGGGGCTACCTCTGCACTGCAAGTGTTAACTGCTTGTTTTGTCTAGGTGCAAAAAAAAAAAAGTTATACTCGCCTGATCCTTCGAGCCAGGTTGTTCTTAGACTGGTCCTTCCAGTGGTGCCCAGTGGTGAACATAGACTCTAGGAAGTCTATGTGCAGAAAAAGAGACAAGGTTCCTATTCAGTCCCCATTGCTTTTTTAACACGTGCACAGCTTCTTAACATTGCCTCTGCCGCTTGCCATTTTGTGCCTCTCACATCTATATATTTGGCATATGGACCCATGCTTACATCACTAGCTTTAGATGCATCTCTTTTAACGATAACAGACCAGTTTATTTGCCAACAGGGCTGGGCACCCTAACTTGGGTTCTCCTCAGTACTTGCCTTTCTGTGCTGAAAATATAATCTCCCCATCACACTGCCATATTTCTTCAGGGCTCATTTACTGCACCATAGGCAATACAGGTGATGTGTTCACCCATATGTCAGCCTGATTCTCTATGGGCTCTGATTAGCAACTTCCCCCACCTGCAGCATCATAGCATACCTCCTTATCTTTCTGAGAAAGGGGAACACCTTCCAGCACCATGTAGGCAATGGACATCTCCTGTCATAGCCTCATTAAGAATTTATATGCCAAAAATGATTGGTAAAACCCAGAATTCTTTTTTTCCTCATTACGTTTACTTTATACTGATTTCTTTAAATAGCAACAAGATACATAAGTGATAAGACAAAGGTTTTAGGGCAGAGTAACACTATTGGTAGTCAAATATTTCCTTCTCATATATATGTATATATCTGTACATCAGACCAAAAAGAGGGGCGACTGAGGAGCAAAGAAGGACAGAGGGATTTGGTTCCAGATGAAGGACAGTCCCTCCAAATGAAAAACACATTCTTTATACTTACAGACAAGATCATTAAAAGCTGTCACAAGCATACAAATGTGGATAGAGATTTATGATATATTATGGTCACAGCAGTAACCTGAAAAAACTCCCTCACACATATGTGGAGGTTCCTGTGTATGGAGCTTTCTGTGCCAACTTGAACACAGCATGGTGTCATGATATCATAATATGGTCCCTGGACCTCAGACCTCAGCAGAAATATCAATGTAAAAAATGAAGAGGGTATGTTATATATTAGACCCTTTATTAATGTTATATATTAAGTTAGCAGTTTTCAAATGATTTACTTGGAAGTAGTAGGCTGAAACTGGGATGGAATGTTAGATTTTCCATCGTTCTGCTTAGCAGCATCTTTGGTTAATTCTTTCACTCATCTTTTCTGATGGAGGAGGGGCTGGTCTTCTGCAGCATCCATAATGTAGCAGTTCCTCTCATTGTCCTGGCAGGTTATCTGCAGGAAGTGGTGTGCTTCCTCCTAGCCTTGCTCTCAGGACTGCTGGGAGCATTTTTTTCCTTCGCAGCAGGAAGCAGAAGGTCGCCTGGACTGTAAAGAGAGAATGACGTGCCTTTCTTTTTCCATAACACCACCAGCCCTTAACTCTTTAAATGGTATGACAGGAATCTGTTTCTGTGCACTGATTTCTGCTGCGGTTTTAGATTTGAGGTGCCACTTTATGCCCGTATGAGAGTGGTTTATAATTAGAGCAAGTGTTGAACTAACACTCCACTGACCATGGGGTTGATTTACTAAAGGCAAATAGGCTATTTACCTTGCAAATGAATTTGCACTTTGCAAGGGAAGTTTCCCTTAGTTTGGAAAATGTGGTGAAATTTCAGTTTGCAAAGAATACTCAATCATGAAAATATAAAAAACAGTATTTTTGCTTGTGGCTTCCTTCGGTGTATAGAAAATATTTTTGTTGCTGGCTCCCTATATACCTGAATGGGGCCATACTCCTACACTAAAGATGCTATGATTACGGCACAGGTCAAGTCTATAGTATATTACTGGGTAGAATGGGCCAGCATTGAGAGGATTTCAGGCTTGAAGCACTGGAGGAGTCTCTCACTGTCAGAGGAAGGTGAGTAAGTTCCTAGATGGGACCCAAGTTGGAGGGGTTTCTAGCTAGAGTAAGTTAGGGGACTAAGGAAGGCTGGGTTATGATTTAAGTGAACTTGTATACTCCTATACAGACAGGTTTGTACATGCTGTGATGGCTGCCTCTAAGACTATGCGTCACTTAATACTGACCCCTGAATCCTGCATTACTTCTGTGACCAATTGTTTCAGGGCATACCAACACTAGGCTCGTGGCTACAATTGGGGGTTTGGTTTTATTTGTGTTGTTGCACGTGGACGTGGTCAGTAGAGTGTCCCTGGATTTCATTTAGAAAATCTAGTAACCTTAAACTATGGACACTTTTTATCTTTTGATATCTTTGCACAAGTAACTCTTATATATGCCTTATATTTCCTGTTTGTTTTACAATGTCAAATTCTGACAGTACATCTATTTCAGGTAATGGTGAACCATTTTACCAGTGGTCAAAAGCTGTCCAAATTCGCACAAACCTTGATCTGGTTCTGGACTGGCTTCAAGGAATAGGTCTTGGTGACATCGCCACAGAATTCTTCAGAAAGTTGTCAGCAACTGTAAACTTGCTATGTATACCTAAAACCAGTCTCTTAAAGGTATGATACAGAAATAATGTTTCATTTGAGCTGAATCTTCTTATAATGCATGAAAAGTTTTACAAAGCATGTACATTGAAGTATAATGAAAGAGACAAAGTTACTGAATGTCCCAGAAATAATTAATAGAAAGGTGAAAAAGAGAAAGAAGAGTCAGTGCAGGCAATGCATTGGGATATAAACTTTCTGCAAATGTATAAATTCAATGTTCATAAACGTATATGGGCGCTACATTACTTCACAAAGAATTAGTATTTCTTTCCCTTCCTGATATTTGAATAGCTCTACAAGACAGCACAGTTTGTAGTGCTAAATTTTATCTACTGTAGTAGAAGTGACACTAAACTCAGAAGTTACATTTTAAAAATACATTTAAGTACCTGAACTATTCACAAAAATGTATCTTATTTGTGTATCACTCAGCTGTAGATCCTCAAATCATCTCTGAATCTGTCCTTCCTTCCGCATGATGGCTACTTTTGTTCCCATGGTTCCTGTGTGTGTTGTAAAGTAGCCACTGCTCAAGCTCACTCCTGTGATGGACTATAACTTCAATACCAATTAGCTAACTGAACATGAGATTGTAGTCCATCACAGGAGAGAGCGTGGTGCCGTGGCTACTTTACAACACACACAGGGACCATGGGGAACAAAAGAAACCACCCTCCAGAGGGAAGGACAGTGTCAGCATGAAATCAGAGAGGATTTGAGGATCTACAGCCGAGTGATACACAAATAAGATACATTTTTATAAAAAATTAAGGAACTTGAATGCATTTTTAGGATTTACCTCTTGAGTTTAGTGTCACTTTAACTCATCAAGGACCAGTTATGGAATTATTCTGTCATGGGTCCTTAAGGGTTTAAGCTTCCATAATACACTAAATGAGAACTTATATATGCATAAATCACATCAAATAAAGCCCTTTTATATAATGTTCTCTTAGCTTAGTGAATGTGGTGAAAATTCATTTTGCAAAAAAATACCTAATCATGTACAAAGAAAATTAAAAAAACAGCATTTGCTTGCAACTGCCTATTGTCCAACTGCCCACGCACATGTCCAACTCCCTACATGTGCAACGTTTCCTTGAACGTTTCCGTGAGCTGCCTATTTACCTTAAATAATAGTGTTGTGTTAATCACACAATACCGATCACTTAGTGCATGCTGTCACACAATGTACCTAGCTTGTGCGTCATGCCCTAGGTGCAGGAATGTCCCTATAATTGTTGGAAATGCAACCACATACTGACATGTACTGACTGTATTACTGACTGTGATATGTCTTTTGAGCTGTAGATGGTGCTATAGTGCAATGTTAGTTTTCTGTATGCATGCTTATCTATGATACAGAGGAAGTTTTCCTGTCTATATGTTTCCTGTATTCTGCATGCTGTATTCAAATGTAATATACTTCTAAGCAAGCAAAACTTAATTCTAAACACATAACCAACAATAATAAGGCAGCTTGAGGTGGTTGCCTCAGGCAGCATGCTAAGAGCTCTTAACAACCTGTGATGCCCTGTCTGGCATCCCACCCAGCTTACTGTCATCATGGAATGCCAAGAGCTGAGCAGGACACTCTGGCTTGCGTCCTGCTGAGTTCTGGGCAACCAGTGACGTCAGTGAGCTGGGTGGGACGCCAGACAGAACCGCTGATCCCTGTCAGCACAACCCCCCAAGAACAACATCGCCTCAGGCATAAAAAACCGCAGGGACAGTCCTGCCTAGGTACGTTGCTATTTATTTGATGACTATGCATTGTGTTCTAGTGCAACACATGGTACCGCAATACAATGCACTGTGGTGCAAAAAAGTAGGGAATGCACTTTTTCAACACAACACATGGTACTGTGGTACCACACATTGTGCTGCTCTAAAATGAACGGCCACCGGATAGGTGCTTTGGGGTGCCATTAAAATGAATGGCAATTCAACGCACTAAATGTACAGTACTACATGCTAGGTGCGTTGTGCAATAGTGTGCGCTAAATGCATGGTAACATGCAATTACCACAATGGTGTGAACAGCCCTTAAATCAACCCTCTTATCTCTATACTCGTTGTAGGTCAATGGCTTCATATGAATTGAAGATAAAGCATCAGCATGACAGCCAGGAAACTAGTGTGTTCAGAAATGACAAGCTTTACATATTTTTCTCATGACAGGCTTGCTTTTATATCTGCATAGACCTTTGTTTGAGATACCAGGCAGCCTGAGCTTTAGTCCTCATTGGTTTAGTCAGTGTGCTTAAGTACCAGCCACGAATGGAATTAAGGGAACATTGCTTTATATACTATCATGCCAGCAAAAGCACATATTCCTCAATATAAAGTATAGAAAGCCGCCTCTGTGAACAATGCGCATAAAACGATTTATCAATAAGGGTTTGTGTTTCCCTAACCCAGCTTTCCTGGAGCACTCTGAGGAATGATTATCAGGCACTGAGCGCTGCTCAGCTGAACCACTTGTTAAGGAACTATCATCTGGGAGTGGGACGGTCACATCCAGCTGCTTGGGACCCCCCTGAAGAGGAAAAGGATGAGATCACAAACAGTGAGTTCAATAAGTGCAGCCTGACCTTGTGTTTTGCCCTTCTCTCTTTGATTCCGCTTCCTTGCGACTTCTGTGGACTTTGAGTTTGTAGGAAACATTATTGCAAAGCTCATCTGCAAGCCAGGGAAATGAGAATAGAACTGGCAAGAGTTTTACAGTTTTATTTTGAGAAAAGAAGCTCAATTTTCTAAGATGATCCCATTCCCAAAAAATAGGGTTTGATCTGTACCAAGGCGAAGCAAGTCCCAAAGGGCAATGCAAGACTCTGACAGCCAAAGGCTTGGCTCCTAGATTCAGACTCATGGGATTTGTAGTTTCATCACAACCGGAGCTCCAAGGTTGCCTTCCTCTGATCTACATCATGGGTAGGTAAACTTAGCACTCCAGCTGTTGCCTCTGGGAGACCTGCTTAAGGATTGTGCAGTGCATCATGGGACTTTTAGTCCTGTGGGAATCTTGCAGTGCATCATTGGAATTATTGTTTCACGACAGCTGGAGTCCTGGGATTGCCTACCTTGATCTACACCAAGGGTAGGCAACCTTAGCACTCCAGCTGTTGTGGATATACAATTCTTATCATGACTCTGCCTCTGGGAGTCATGACTGTGAGACTCATGCAAGGCATTATGGGACTTGTAGTTCCACAACAGCTGGAGTGCCGAGGTTGCCTACCTTTGATCTACATCTACACCAAGGGTAGACAACTTTGGTACTCCAGCTGTTGTGGATCTACAATTTCCATCATGACTCTGCCTCTGGGGGTCCTGCTTGAGAATCGTGCAGTGCATAATGGGCCTTGTAGTTCTGTGGGAATCTTGCAGTGCATCATGGGACTTGTATTTCCACAACAGCTGGAGTCTCAGGGTTGCTTACCTTTGGCCTACACCAAGGGTAGGCAACCTTAGCACACCAGCTGTTGTGGATCTACAATTCCTATCATGGTTCTGCCTCTGGGAGTCCTGCCTGAGGCTGTGAGAATCTTGGAAGGCATCATGGGACTTGTAGTTCCACAACAGCTGGATTGCCGAGGTTGCCTACCCGTGATCTACACCATTTCTTACCATAGCAGAGATCTGGGCACTGGAATGTTTAAAGAGGACCTGTAGTGATGGTAACGTTACTAAACCAGCAATTTAGTGCTGAATTCCTAAGTGCTTTGTCATGCAAATACCAACTTTCGCCCCCTCCCATTGCTCACTGTTGACCTATCGCTGTGATCATCATCACTGACCAATAATAAAGGTCCAGAAGACAAGAAGAGGAAGGACAAAGTAGCGACTTCTTAGCTGAAGTCGGTATTTGCATAACAAAGTGCTGTGGGTTTTGTGGAAAGAAAGACGTACATAAAACCCCTAGAAGTGCCTGGTCACAGAACTGACGTTTGGTTTGGTATCAGTACTATTACATCAGACGTTGCTTTATCTGCTTTATTTCATGACATTTCAGTTGAGTACGGAGGCGAGTATATTACTGATTTCAATTGGGAAAATAAATGTCACTAGACAGCAATAAAAAAGAAAAGTAAAGAATAAGGAATCAATATACTTAAAGGAGAACTCCAGGTATGTAAAGAGTTAACCCTTGCAGTGGGGCTACCTCTGCACTGCAAGGGTTAAAGAACTACTTTGGGCATAATAAAATTTAACCAGTGCAGTGGAGCTACCCCACACCCACACTGCAAGGGTTCAATGCTTGTTTTGCTCTGGGGTCTAAAATAAAAAAGATATACTCACCCGATCCTCAGTCCTGCCTGGCTGCTAGACCAGTCTCTTCTCCCCCTACGCTCTGGCAGTCTACTGGACCCATGACGTCATCATGTCTAATACAGTCTATTAGACGTCAGGTTGCTGAGGGACATACTACCACCGTAGAGCGCTCTCTGCTACAGGATCGAAGCCCGAGTGAGTATATCTTCCTTATTTGGGCCCCTAGAGAAAAACAAGCAGTTAACCCTTGAAGTGTTGGGATAACCCTACAGCAAGAGTACATTTTTATTCTGCTTTATTCTGCTGCATTCTTCTTTAACCTGACATTTTTCTCCAGGGGGTTAAGCAGATATACTCACCTGATCCTTGTCCTGTGAAAGCTCACCTCTCTCCCTCTCTGCTCCAGCTCTGGAATATCCCTCGGCGTCTGACGTGATGGCGTCAGCTGGGTTTAGACCACCGGAGCCCAGGGGAGAAGAGGATGTGAGGACCAGTCTAGAAGCCAGGCGGGAGCAAGGATCAGGTTAGTATATTTTTTTTTATCTGAGAAAAACGAGCAGTTAACCCTTGCAGTGTGTGGGCATCCCCTAGGGTTTCCACCTGTCCAGGATTCACCCGAACAGCCCGGGATTTGAATGCCGAGTCCGGGTTTCATGGCAGCAGAAACCCGGACACAAGATGTCAGGCAGACAGGGGCAACCAAAATTGAGATAGGGGCTACTGGCCCCCACTGAAAATAGGCTTGCTTGTGATATTTACATATGAATGGGTGGCGCTATTCACATATGCATAAGCCACGACTCATTCTCCCACAAAATGTCGGCTAGTCGCTAGAGTGTGTTCGAGTTTCTCTTGAAGAAAAGGTGGCAACCCTAGCATCCCCACTACAAGGGTTAACTTTTTACATTTCTGAAGTTCCTCTTGAATAGAAAATGTGCTGCCACAAAAATGCGTTGTCCTGGGCAAATGGCTAGTTTGCTAGTATGGTAAATAGTGAACAGTACAGATAGACCTCACAACGGCAGAGTGTACTTATGTAAAGTGTGTCTTCAGGGAACGCAGGGAACCCAGAATCTCCTACAACTCCTAAAATACACAATATTTTCAACAGGAAGTCAGAGAAGAACATCTTGCACAAGGTCACAGACCATCTGTCCTGTGACTTTAGGAAATGGTGGCAGTCTGGAAACAAATGGTACATTAACATAGACTTTTTCACACAGCCTATGCAAGTATTATTTCAGCTGATGTATGATAATGTTTTAGAGGCAGTGTATAGGGGTTTAGTAGATATTTACTACGGATAAAAAAAAGAAACATTTAAACATGCATATGGTTTCCAATTATTAGTCAGGTAACTATTACTGTACATATTGCATACACTGTACATGTTGTGTTCTCATGAAGCACATGAAGCTTTAGGCTCTTTCTTTACACCCCTTATCCTTTATGTTTATCATTATCCTTTGATGAAGAAGGCCTACTGTTTGCACAGTTCAGTAGCTCAAGCTGACATTTATATTTAGAGCAGTGATTCATCCCCTACCCTACCCAACAGCTTCTGTTGTGTTTCTTTTTAACACATTACAATAAAGCGATTGTAGCTTTAAACTCTTCCTCACTATTGTTTGTTTGTTCGCAGCAGATATCTTTGAGAGCTTCACGGATCATCCTCCACTCATCCTGCCCTGTGACAACTTCCGCATGCATCTCTCACAGCCGTTAACCGACGATTCCTTCCACAAGCAGCTCTGTCATCTCCGATCTTTTGTGTGGGACCTGGAGCAGAAATCCTTGCCGGCTAATCAGAGGGCCGTGTACAGGGTGGATACCAGTCAGTAAGATGTTACTATGATGGAACATGAAGTCAATGGACAATATAGAGCTTAATGTATTGCCTGGACTGTGTTTACCTGTGTCCCTGAGAGGATACTTTTTAGGTTGTCCAGGGATAAGTATTAAAAAGGTAAAAATAAACCAATAGATGAACTTGAAAAGATCAGATGAATCTAAAGAGAAACTCAGATATCAATATTTCTTTCTATTTAACCAAATATTGCTCAAGACATTCCACATCTAAAAGATCAGCAAATGTATTAATGACACACGCAGCATTCAGTAGAAACCCTTTTTGGAACTTATAACCATTGGCCATTCTTACAAATCCGCCACATTATGACAGCCCTCTATATCAAAATATATTAGATGAAGAACACAATCAGTTACAAAATACTGTATGTGATACAAAGGTGATGCAGTCCTGGTAACATAGGGAGTGATTAAGTCATACAGAGCCATAGTGGAGGTTCTGATTGGGTATCACAGTGGAGTGTCTCTGGTTGCATCATTTAGAAAAACTGTAATTACTAAGGAGCTTATTTATAAGGCAGCCATATATTCTGATTGCAGACATACCACTTAAAAAAAATAAAGCACAGTGTCGTGCTTAGCACTTGCTTTGGGACTCTGAACCAAATGAAACCCTATTTATTTTCATGAAGGGGGAAAAAAAATGGTCAGGAGGAGGAGAACCCGGTCACATGACCTGTCAAAATCATATGACTGGCATCTCCTCCCATTTCATGATGCAGAGAACACTCTGTAGGACACTGCAGGCTTCACACCACACCACTATATTTTATGAAGGAAGTGTAAAATGCAGGTGCAGTGTGGAGTAAACCCTGCAAGTGCCCAACAAATATCGATATCCGCTCTTCATTTTAAAAACACCATATCTTAGTGTGGACTTACATATATACTCTGCTGCAATCTTCATGATTTTCCCAATACATGCTGGCAGATTGTGTACAATAAATATTTAATTTTCTTTTTTGCCACTGAAAACAAAACAATCAGCTTTGTACCACAAAGATTTGTCAGCATTTTGGAAAATGAGTAAATCTTCCCTATTGGCTATTGTATTCTGACAGCCATTGCCTGCTGCTGTTACATAGTATTTGAGGTTGAATAAAGACATTAGTCCATCAAGTCCAACCTATTAGGATCTCATTCTAGGAGTACCTGTACCCCTGTATATTACTGTTAGAATACACAAAGAGTGATTGAAGCCGATTTGCTGCTGTCACTGTTTGGCCAACAATTTTGCACCTGGCTCCTTCCACAAAGATCGATTGAAAGATCAGCTTTTGTTGAACCAGGTTGTGCCGGCAGAGCCGGTTTTCAGTCGAGTCAGCAGGAATCGTGTATGGCCAGTTTATGCCTTGTGTTCAGGGAACTCTTGGTTTTGGTCCAGTGGCACTGAATTCCAGAGGACTCATGCCCATATCACAGCCACTTTTTATGTTAGTTGCAGTGTTGTTGGTGTTAGGTATGCTGGGCATGACTTGTGAAAACATTACCAAATAACAATAATGCAAAATGGTTCCATTCATCACCAATTTGGAGCTATTTGTATTTCCTGCACAAATAAAGCTGGGAGCCCAATTATTTGCTGTAGGGAACACATTCCATCTAACTCCCATTTCCATCATTCAGTCACATTACATAAAGTGAGCAGAATTCACAGCAAACGTACAGAATTCACAGCAAACGTACAGGAGAAGTGTCTGTGTTCCTCAGTTATTGTCATATCAGATACATGAATTGTTCAAGGCTGGTCTACTGCCAGCTCTGATCTGCCCCTTCATTATTTATAACTATTTTTCTTGCAGTATAACGTTATATTCACTAACATTTGCCTTCAATTAAAGTGCCAAAAGATAGGACAGGAGTGACTTCATTTCACATAAACATTTTGGTGTGCATATTATTTCTTTGTTTACAGGTATATGTTTCTCAGTGATAACACCTTGTAAAAATAGAATCTGCATTCCATGCAGGGTTCATGCATTGTAGCTGAGTGATTTGAACCCCATGTCACTTAAAGTCTATGGAAACCCTAAACATAATTGTTTCCTTTTTATTAGACATGTGCACCAGCAAAAAATGTGTTTCGTTTCGTCTCGATTCGGATTTTGCTTTATTTCGTTTTTTGGAATTCGGGTCCGAAAGTCAATTCGTTTCGGAAATTCAGATTCGGACAAAATTCGTTGTGGAATTGGAAGTGGAAATACGTACGAAATTTCGTATCTAATGCGTTTCGTTCGTTCGTTGCAGCAAAGTGACATTTAAGAGGGAAAAACTGTTTTTTCGTTCTCAAATGTCACTTTGCTGCAACGAAATTTCGTCCAAAAAACTAAAGTTCGTCCAAAAAAAACGAATCGGATATTCGGATTCGTTTGCATTCGTACCTGTAATTCGGAATTTGGATACATCCGAATCTCTGAAATTTCGTCCGAATTTCGATTCAGAAGGAAACGAATCGCACATGTCTAATTTTTATGATCGGTTAAATATACCCCAAAAAAGCATTTTGTTTTATCTGCTTGATAAGTGCAAAAAAATACATAGGAAAAATATCTGCTGACCTGAAAATTCAGAGCTGTCCTGTGTCCTAAGCACACTTCCTGTGTTATACCAAAGAGACTATTGAGCCCTTCCAGTTCTTATGTTGGACTGCAAGTCAATTGGTCCCTATTATGTGGATAAGAAAACAGTATAGAGTGTTTGACTAATTTAGCAAAAGACAATGGGTAGGGCTGACACTAGTCTATAAAATACTGAATATTGTCAACCGACAAAAGCTTTGTGCATGTCTGACAGATCAACAGGTATGTTGCTGTACTTGCAGGGTCCTTAAAGGGATAAAACATAGTCAAATGTGCATGTATTGCAGGAATACATACTGCATATGTTTTCTTTTTTTATTATTATTTTCCCCTAAAATACACTTTAAGTACTGCCTATTATTCTGGGCAAAATAAAATCCATGAAAATAAGCAGTTATGCCATTATAATGCAGTTATGCTTTACATATTTACAATACATATCTAAGATATGGTGAAACAGCGTGCACACACGCACACAGTGACTATAGAGGAGATCAGCTCCTGTGTGTATAAAACATTGTTACAGAATCCTAATAAGTACTTTTTCTCTGTTGGTAATGGGACTTTCTGTACAATAGAAATTTTTTCATCCGTAACTACTTAGAAATATATCTCAAGGTAATTTTTTCATTAACATGCACTGTTTTATTTCTCTTTAATCTATTATTTGTAATGTGCATTGCTAGAAAAGTAGTTAAGGTACACGTTGGCATCTAAGTGATAAGTGATACTGACTTTATTATAATTTTATTTATACAGATAGTTGCCATTTTATGTTGCTTTCTTGGTAGTTTTCATTTTGATTTTTTTTTTTTTTTATGACTTAAAGGGTCAGTCAAAGCCAATAGTTGTCATCTGTATAGATGTCACAGGGTTGTATGATCCACCATATTCTCATGCCCATTGAGGACTCCATTGGCAAGACCTTTGTATATTTTGTTGCCACAACCCACAGGGATATAAAAAAAACATCCAGACCACCAAAATCCAACATAAATACTGACCCTTTAACCAGATTTTACATATTGTAAAGCGAAAAAAGAAACATGCTAAGTGGTTATTTAAAGTATATCAAAAGCCAAAACATTTTTTTTTTCATTTTGGATAGAGTAGGGAAGGGTTAAAAAACACTAACTGTTTTTTTTTTTGCCATCTGTGTCTTATTAGGGATATTTCCTGTCACTTGCTGTAGATTCAACAGGAAGTGACATTGGTGTCTTTCCAATATGAAACAAATCCTCTTCTTAGTTGTCATAGGAACAAGTGTTCCCATTGGAAGATTTTACCTCTATTCCATGTCTAGTGACAACTCAAAATTTAACCTCACTTTCATTCCCGGTGACATTGGTGACCAGGACAATCAGAGAGAATGAATCTCTATACCAGTGACACAGACATCAATAAAAAACCTGACGGGTTCTTCCCCCCCTCACCACTCTAAAAATCTAAATCTAAAAATGCTTGCCTTCAGGTGTACTTTAATAATGTTAGCAATAATGAGCAGTTATCCTATGTAATCATATTAGATTTCAGTTTTTTTTATTAGGTTAAGAGTAGCAAAACCAGTGGAAGACTGTTTTTGTTTGGATAACATCTCCTTGCAAATAATACATATAAAATCCATGCCTTATAGGCTTCATGTCAAGTATTTAAAACAAATTATGATGTGTGAATGTTCACCTATTAGTCTACAAGGCTGCCCATCAAATTAAAAGATCACCAGTGAGGATTGGGTGGTATGAGGGGTGTGGCCAACCTCAACTTTACAGGAAAAAGTCAAGATTACCATTTCATTTCAGTAGCCAATATCTCTAGATCTACTTATATACAGTTGTCACTGAAGGTAACCTCTGATTATGTATTTTACAATATGTGCTCAGTGAGAATTAATCAGGTTTGTGACAGGTTTGCTTTACAAGAAATCCTCCATTACTGTGAATCAATATAATAACATGATTTGAAGCTGGAAGGGATTATCATAATAAGCATAGGCATATCCACATAAACAGAGGTTAAAATGTGTGTTTTTTAAATGTTATAAAATATAAAAACTTTGTATGATCTAGTGACAGAACAAGGTGAATATTTTGTAAAATCTTTTATAAAAATATATGTTGTAGCTGAAAAATAAAAAAAACCCCAGCTGTTTGAAATCATTGTGTTAAAATAAAGCAATATAAAGTGTGTCTTAATGTGTGTTCATACCTTACAGTGTTCCTAAAAAAGAGCATTCACACTCAGTTCCCTGTGGTTCAGCATATAATGGACAGTATCTATGAGTGATGCAAGCACTTACATATGTTTGGAGGGATCTGATGAACATAAAACATTGGGGTGCAGCATAAAAGTATGTGAACCCAAAAAGTAGCTACTCACTACAGGTGTTGCAAGCTT